CTGGCAGATTTCTCCTAGAATAATTTATCAGATGAGAAATGCTCTAAACAGTTGGAAACAAGTGTATCTTTGAAGTTACTCCCACATTAGACCTAGGGACAGATGATGCACTTTAAGGTAATTATACTGAAACTAATTATGCTTGCCCTAGAAAGAAAACATAGCCTCCTATTCCAGGAGCTAACAGAAGTTAAAATAGCAGCTTTTGAGTTCTCAGATTTCACAGTTTAAAGTCTCTGGCATGAACTACACGGCGACTGATATCTCGCGTTTACACACACCCGCCCCTTCTAATCTGGAGCGCCTCTTTTCTTCCCATCTTTCCGTCTTTGTTTTTATGCAGAAGGCCTAAATGGTGAGCTTTTTATCATTGTGAATATTTATACGTCTTTTTTTTTTTAGATTCGATCAGTCTTATTTTGACCGAATCTTTGAGGTGCATTTAATTAATTTTCACTAATAATGCGTAATGGATTGTACTCAACTCCACCCAATTTGTTTGTTTCACACCCCCACTCGCTTTTTATTTCAAAGAGTGTGTAAACAAAACCCCCAACTGCCTTTTCCGATTCACAATTATTTTCTTCCTTTCTTCTTCTTTTCCCCCTTTTTTCGGTTACAGTAAGACATTCAGCACAGGGGGAAAATGAAAGTAAAACGCCACTATCTCTTGCTTTGCGCTTTATTACGCCGCAACAGAAAAACACTTAGCATGTAAAATGAATGTGGAAATTATTCCTGGGGTAAACTATAAACACACAAGTTACCCCTCGCGCCCCCCACCACCATCCTCCTAGATCAGAGTGTAATTGCCAGTAATCAGGTCTGTTTGCAGCTGATAAAACCTCTCTGAATGCGTGGAACCCTCTTTGTATGATGACTCAATTACGCCCGAAGTGGCTCATCAAACCTGGACCATCAGCAGCTTTAATAAATAAGGAGGCACAAACTTGCTGCAGGCGCATTGTGATTCCATTCATTCCATAATTAAATCCATTCCTGGCTTAACCCTTTTCCAGCCAGACGCTACAGATGAACAAAAAGCGGGAGGGAGAGAGATAGAAAGAGAGCGGGTGACCTTGCAGTGAGACCCTGTGTCTTCATAACTCTCTATGCGCGATACGAGCACAGACAGGTGATATGGAGAGAGAGAGGAGAGAGGAGAAGAAAACGGGGAAAGGTGATTGGAAGGAGAGAGAGAGGGAGAGAGGGAGGTGTCTGGGTGGAGATAGAGCTGGAGGTCTTTATTTATTCATTGTTTAGTGCCACATAGTGCTTATTCCGTAATTACACTGAAAGTACAATCTAATCATAACAGTCATTCAGGAAGGACAAGGGCACTGAGTGCGCTTCCAATGTTTGCTATGCTTATTTCTTACTGATTTTTCACCCTCTATCGTTTCACAAAGTCTAGATGCAAAGAAAAATCTTAATGCAAGTGAAAGAGGACTTTTAATAATAATAAAAAAAGGCATGCATGTTTAATAAAAACTTGCCTGAAAGGTTTAAAGGCATATTCTGGACTAGGCAATTTATTTCTGAATTAAATGCATATTAAATACAATATAAATATTTTTGATTACGAAAAAAAAAAAGTGTGGAAGTCTATGGGAGAACTGTTATAAGTCATTGTTATTATTATTCTAAATAAATAAATAAATAAATGTTGTTACTTGCAATAAAATAAACATTATTAGAAATAACATAAAATATATATTTTTTAAAAGTTAAAAACTTATTTTATTTTACATTGTTCATTTTCATTTAGTTGAACTTGATACTAAAATAACTAAAAATGAAATAAATATTAATAAAAGCTTTATAGATATACTAAAAAACTAGTACAAATAAAAATTAAAACAACTTAAATACTAAAACATTAACTTGAATTAAGAAAATGGAAAATATAAAAAATCAAAAACAAATTCAGATATTAATAAAAGATATTATAGTACCTTAATGAAACTAATATGAGACTTTTTTTATTTTTGTTTTATTTTTAACCATCAGTTTCTAACATTTAACCACAGAATTAGTTTTTTACTGCTATTATTTGCAATAATTTGTATCCCTTTTTTGTATCCACATCCTCAAGTCTAACATCCCAAAAAATAATAGTGTTTGATATATCTAAAAATACGTCAATGACACTCATCTGGTTACTAATAACCTCAAATGAATTCGAATACTTAAAATAAATATAATTCTTGGTGAAATACAAGTTAAAACTCAACTTGTGTTTAAGCTTGTACTTGCTCTCCCCATAGACTTTAATTGTAAGTGCATAACTGTCAATGCATGATTTGTTTGTTCTAATCAACAGGATACCACAAGTATTGTCTCCAAACTTGTAATTTAACCCATTTCTGCGCATGCCGTTATAAAGATAAAGATGATTTGAGGTTTGATTACTAGCAGTCGTCCTTTGAGCAGTTAAATCAGATGAGCTGTGATGATAACAAACGTAATTACCATATGCATTGTGCACTTGTCTGTTTGTTTGTCTTATTTTGGTGGTGCTAGCATTCATGTGATAAAGAGTAGAAATGCTCTATCTTAATCATAGCGTGTGTGCGTTTTTGTTTTGACCACAAAATGCCATTCATTTTTTCTACTAAGGAATTGCGCATGTTAACACTAATCTTCTTTGTATGTGCGTTTTTAAGGGTCGCCGTGTCGTTATTTGAAACGAATCCCGCCCATTGATGCTCAGAGGCTGTAAAGTGCAACTCTCGTTCGGCTCAGACGGGGCTTTGAGAAAAAGAGCAGATGGGTTAGGGCAAAGAGCACCGGCCGCATACACACACGCAGACATGCGCACGCCGAATCAGGAAGCGCTTTCTCCTTAGAGACCGCAAGGCCATGCACATTAGCGGCCCGGCCCTCAGAGGGACGCTGGTTGCGTGCAGAAGGGGCTGAGAGAAACCCCCTTATAATGATTCAGCAGATGATGGGCCGTCTTTCTTCTTATGTTAATGAGGGGGCCCCTCCTCGTCCCCGGTGGTGGGGGGTAAAAGATGCTGGGAGTTTTTAGCCATAATTAACACAAAGCTCTCTCTTTCTCTCCCTCAAAGCCAACAGGCATGAATGGCTCACCAATAGCGGAGCTCAGGCGTTGTGTAGCGCAGCGTTTAAATTGTCCCGATGCACGCAATCACACAAAACTCTTCCCGGATTAACCATATTAATTACACACGAGCTATTTGATTTCTGTCAAGCAATCAATTTGCATCTTGTTAAGAAAGCCACATGAGGTCTTGTCTGATAATTCGCTCCCAGGTTTCTCCACGGCACCGTTTGAAATGTTCACAGTTAGTGTTTCTATCCGAACAACTTCTAAATGTACACTGTAAAAAATGATTGTGATTTTAACAGTAAAAGACTGTAAAAATGCTACAGTAAAAACCTGTTAACCGGTTAACAGCAAGTTTCCATACTCTTAAAATGTAATTTTACAGTAAAATACTGTTAAAAATACGGTTTTTGGAAGTGAAAGAAAAAGTCATTGTATAACTTACAGTGACAAACTGTAAATTGACACTCCCAGAATTCCCTGTATGACACTTCATATTTGATGTTTTTTTGTTGAAATAACATGTTTCTTCTTAGTTTTTTTTTTCTTATCAGTTGTGTACATTAGGGTTTAATCTTACATCTAATGTTGTTAAATTAATGTTTATTGCATTATTTCAGTATCAAGTGTGTCACCGTGATGGGGTTTAGTGTTTGTGTGAATGACACTGTGCACCTTCTATATACAAGTATTGCCCTCCTCAGCTTGTAGAAAAACTGTTTGCGATGAGCTTTGGTTCATCACGTGACTTTCTCATCACCACCAGTTTTTGGTGGTTATCACTACATTACAATGGTTCAAAACAGATATTAGTACTTCAATATGTTGGTTTATTAATATTACATCAGTTAATGAAATACGGTATTTTATTGTGAATTTAAGTTAAGTCTGTAAAACCTAAAATGTTGCTACCATATTTTTTACGGTGAAGTTCTGGCAACCACAGCTGCCGGTATTTTACCGTAAATGTCACAGAATTTTTTTTTTTTACAGTGTAGTCGTCAGAAGCGAATTCAATAAATGAACTGTGTCTTGAAACAGCATGCACAACCTAAATATATCAAAAGCAACTAAAGCAACCTGACTACATTGAGGTTTTTTTGAATGTTTTTTATTTTTATTGTAAATCAAATCAGGTAGATATAGCATTTTAGAGTAAAAACAGCATGTGTTATTAATCATATTATTTAATATGACTAAAGCAAACCAAGTGCATTGAGTTTTAACAGATAGAAATCTATTTTGGACTAAAACGGCAGATTTTAATGTTTTACAGTGTGTCATTAATCATATTATTTAATATAACTAAAGCAACCTGAGTTGTGCATTGTTACACAGTGATTTTTAACAGCTAAAAATCACTTTTTAGACTAAAAACAGCATGTTTTTACAGTGTGTCATTTATCATATTATTTAACATCACTAAAGCAACCTGAGTGCAGTGATTTTTAACAGGTTAAGTAAAAACTGCACGTTTTAATCTTTTACAGTGTATCATTAATCATATCATTTAATTTTACTAAAGCAACCTGAATGGATTAAGTTACAGTGATTTTAGAGTAACAAATGCTCATTTTAATGTTTTACACCGTGTCATTAATTATATTATTTTATATGACTGCACTTATATGCACATTTTAATGTTTTATCATTACTCGTGTTTTGACTAAAGCAGATGGAATGCATTACGAGTTACAATTGAGTACAAATTGCTTTTAAGAGTAAAAACTGCACATTTGAATGTTTTACAGTGTGTCGATAATCAGAAATGTCTACATAACTGCTGTTTTTTGTGAACATGTTTTGACTTAAGGACACATTTGTGATGTAAAAATTGATTTCACACTAGCGATTCAAAAATAGTCTGTAAACACCTCAAGCGTAATTCAAGTTGTCACTGACATCTTTTGTCATTTTTTGCCCTCAGAGCATGAATGTCACACTAACATCTTAGAACAGCTGAAGAAACGTGTGTGCAGTAACCAGAGCGGCCCGTGGGGACCTTGCAGAACATCTTATTCATTACAGGCCAAACAAACTAAGGTAAAATTAGTCATTGTTTCTACAGAGCAGTCAGAGTATCTCACATGTGCAGGTGTAGTTTATACGTTCTTGTTTGTATGTTACATATCATTTTGTGGACTCACCTCTATTTTTCATGTTTGTGTGTATTTACATGCTGCTTAATCATTTATGAAAGTATAAAAATATTGCACCAAACAGTTAAACATGTTGAATGCAACATCTGTTGTTTTAAAACTGGCAGTTTTTGAATGCACAAACAAGTTCAGTAAAATTGTCCAGTTCTGAATATTTTATTTTATTTTATTTACTATTTCATATTTACTACTTAGAATTGTATATAATGTTATCTAATTTTATTTTGTGTTTCATTTTATTTGGTCACTTTTATAACATTTTCTATGTGAGCTTTAGACAGTAACAATGAGAATGCACTTAATTTGATTTCCATTTTAAATGCATAACTATCAACACATTTTTTGTTTGCTAAAGTTTTAGTATAAATGATATTTATGCGTGTATTTTTCATATTTATATGATGCACAATCATTTAAAAATGATTGTAGATGTACAACACAGCAAAAATGTTTTGTTCGGAAACCTAAATGTGCTCTGATTGAAATGAACTGGTTTTATTCAAATCAAATATATTATTTAATATGAATAAACTTGATTATTTTAGATTTCTGACAATGTTTAGCTTGTGCAATAATAATTCTACTATATTAAAACTAGTTTGTGATTTGGCTCGGGAACCACTTGGGCCATCATTTACAAAGTTGTTTCAGTTCAAAACCGACTTGTTACCTGAGGTTCTCGGCGCTTGTTGACATGGTTCGGTTTTGCAAGGTGGTGACGGTGTAATTTAAGGGATTGTTAGCAGCCAGCTGTTGCCTGATCGCTCTCTCTCCTCCTCATGTCAAAGTTTCCGCTCAGAATATCAGAAATATCAAATTACGTAAGCCTGGAAATCTGCGTCCCCTTTGTTACAATAAACCCCAGTGCTTGTGGGGCTAATAAAAGATTTCTTTTCACTCTCCCACCGAAAAAATAGCAAAATCACCAAACAAAACCCGGCTCTGGCAGTTTTTAATAGTTTGGGCTTTCAAGAGGCGTTCAGAAAAGCCCATCCGGAAGCGATGGGCCACTTCTGGCGTGGCGTGCGTTAGCGCGCATCTATGTGTACACGAGCGAGCGAGTGTAATGAACTAATCAGGTACATTAGTTTTTACAGAATGTAATCTATAGTGTTTGGGAGTTGTTTGTCTCAATAGGGGCCCCCAGTAATCAAAAGTAATGAAGCTATTACGCGTCGGGAGCCGGGAGAGGGCTGGCGTGGCATTAAGAGTGGGCCACATAAAAGGTTTATTAAAGGAAATTAAGGTCCATCAATGCCACACCTGCTCCCCCTATTATAAATGTATGACAGGTCAGTGGCTTCAATCACAACAGCCAAGCCGAGAGAAGGGGAGATAGGAGTCATGTTTCCCATTATAAGCGAAGTAACAGCCCAGCCAGTGACTCACCGAGCTCACCAGACCCTCCGACCGCTATAGAGCGCCATCAGCCCAGAATAATTACATTTAATAGGTTTTATTTGGGATCAGCAAGGCACTGCTGGCAGAGAGAAACCGAGAGAGAGAGGGAGAGTGAGTAGGTGCTGCGGTATTAACAACTCTTTTTGTCTAAACACACACACACACACTACTACTTTTGTTTGTCGCTGGTTTTTGCATTATTATATTTGTGCTCGCCACTGTCTCACCCTCTTAAAAGTGAAGGCCTGTCTGGCTGTTCTCTCTGCGCTGGCAGTTTGTTGCTGTAGTTTCTAAGTCAATTAAATCAAGCCAAAATATGAAGCACGCCACACAATGCACGTAATGGAGCTGATCTACTGTGTGAAATTTCCCCTTTTTATTTGTCGTAAAGTTCACTGACCTTTCGTTTCTCGTGCTGACGCTTCATCGCACGCGCCAGGAGTCGCGGAATTGATTGGATTAGGTTTTTACTACTGTTATTTACTGTAATCCTGTCGCTTGAAACTTTCTTTTGTAAGATCTGAAGTTGTGAGCCCATGCAGGTGTGCTGTTTGTGAAATAACATGCGTGCAGTGCGATAAACTCTTTGCACGACACTAATCTGGCTTACTTGTTAATAACCTAAACTGACAGGAACTTAGCCGTCACTCTGATGATGAGATCCTGTTGAGATGAGTTATTAAACAGGATTATAAATCTCTGAAATTGAAAAGTGCGATTTGTTATTAACTTTCTGTTTTTTTTTTCCCGTTCTCTTTCCAGATGGAGTCTGACAGTGAAGAGAATCATAGTGAAACATGTGATGGTAAGTGCTCTAACATAACTTACAAATGTATAAAATAAGTTAGAATAAAATAATTTGTATAAATATATACTAAATCTGTTTTATGTATAATATAATAATGTTTTTATTATCTAGTTTTATATCTCAAATCTAGTTCAGTGTTTTTTTTAATCTAAAATCTATTGAAGTAAAAATTGTTATTTATTATGACTAAATCAATCTGACTATATTAGGCAAATACATTTTAACTCATTATGTTTTAAGGTTCAAATCAAGTAGCTATATCTTGTTTTGATTTTTTTTTGCATTTTACTCAGTATAACTATCAAAAGATCAGTTGATAATTATGTATATTTTGTATTTCAATATTTCAGTATTGAATATTTAACATTGTGTGTTGTGCATACTTATATACATTTTTTTTATTAACATTAACTGCTGATCTGTTTAGCATTACATACATTTAAATAATGTTAGTGGTTAAAATATTTAAAAATATTTAAGTTTTATATCATTTTAAAGATGTATTACTCATTACCTCTGCAACATAATATTTATTTATTATAATATAATTAGAAAATATATTGCATATTTATATTATATATTTATTTTATTATAATATAATATCTAGTTGTATATCTAAAATCTAGTTATATGTAGTTTTATAACTAAAATCCTGTGAAGTAAAAAATTATTATTTATTATGACTTAATTTAATGAATTTAAGGTTCCAATAAGAAAATTCATACTTATTATCATAGTATACAGTATAATTATCAAAAAATCTGTATTGAATATACATGTGTACATTGTACATGTGTATATATACTGATGCATACTCAATAGTCTTTATTCAAATAGTTAGAAATGTCCACTTTTATTTACATATTTTTATATTCTTATTTTAATCAACATTAACTACTGATCTGTTTAGCATTATATGAAGTTTAATGACGTAATAAGTCTTTCATATCATTGTAAAGTTGTATAACTCTGCAACATAATATGTATTTTAAGCACTTGTTATGAAACATAATCTCATACCACTCTTTAGAGTGCATTATTGGTTTTTATAAACATGCAGGGATGCATTATATTTGCCCCGTACAAAGTTCACATAAACAAGGTGAACACATTTCCCATAATGCCTCAGCGACGGCCTTCTGACAGGCTGGTTTCCTCACGTGTGCGCACGCACCCTTTTCCTACGCACATTTGATCCGAAGTGTTAGTTTAACGGTCTCACATCAGATCTGTCAATTTTAATATTAATCCTCTTTAGCTGGAGAGAGGTACGGTTGCCGCGGCGATGCATTATGCAGAGACAGTGACTTCATTATGTGGCAATATTCTTTCAAACGAGTTAAGGAGGGCATCGTGAATGGAAAGAGTGACTAAAGCATGACAGGGGACATCATTATTCAAGTGTTTAGAGCCGCGTCCTGTACCTCTCATGAGCGCCTGGCCCTTTAATGTGCCGGTAAAAATTCATGATGGTGTTTTATTGAGTCTTCACCATGGGATTGAGGTGAAGCTGTGAACGAGACATTCTCTCCCACTGACACACATTCCTTCTCTCTCTGTCTGTCTGTACATCTCGTGAGACTAGGTTCACAGCGAGGCTTTGAGTATATCATGTTGTCAGAGCTGTGATTGTTAAACACTGTTTAGTAAAGTGAACCAGCTTTTTCCCTATGCAAATCCAGATACGTGTATTGTCTTACACTGTGTAATTGGTTGCTAATTTTGCCCCAAGAGGAAGTATTGCACATCCTAAACATGCTCTATGAAATATAAAACAATTCATTCCTGTCAGAGAGTGTTCATTTTACCTTACCTTTTATTTAGTCTGCGAGATTATGAAAATGTACAGAGCCACTGAAGGAACATGGTGATGGGAGGAAAGATTGTATTTCAATGCTTTTGTGTTCGCTTGCAAAACTTTTGCTTTCTCTTGTAAATATGTTGCGTTCCCCTTGAGAAACTTTGCATTTGCTTGCAAAACTTTTCAGGAAACCTTTGTATCTTCTGCGAGAGAATGCAAAGTTTTCTGGGGGAATGCAGAAATTTTGTAACGAAACTCAAAAAAAATTTTGAGAGAGAGAATGCAATATTTTTGCAGTGTTTTTCAATTTTTTTTTCAATATTTTTCTTTTGTGAGAGAACACAAACACTTAGCAAAAGAACACAAAGTTTCTTATGGAAACGCAAATGTTTCATGAAATGTTTTGCAAGAGAATTCATTTTTTGGGGGGAACGCAAAAATTTGGCTAGAAACGCAAATATTTCATAAATAGAAATGTTTTGTGAAAAATTGCCAAAAAATGTTTTGTGAGAAAATGCAAAAGCTTTGTTAGAGAATGCAAATGTTTTGCGTGAAAATGCAAAGTTTCGTGGGGAATGCAAAATTTGTCTAGAAAACAAATGTTTTGTGAGAGCTCAAATGTTTTGCGAAAGATCACAAATGTTTTACGAAAGAATGCAAAGTTTCTTGAGGAATGCACAATTTGGCAAGAAAAATGTCTTGTAAGAGAACGCAAATGTTTTGAGAAAGATTGCAAATGTTTTTTGAGAGAATACAAAGTTTCTTGTGGAATGCAAAATTTGGCTAGAAAACAAATGTTTTGTGAGAGAGAGCAAATGTTTTGCGAAATATCGCAAATATTTTATGAGAGAATACAAATGTTTTGCGAAAGATCGCAAATGTTTTACAAGATAATACAAATGTTTTACAAGAGAATACAAATGTTTTGGGAAAGATTGCAAATGTTTTGCAAAAGATCGCAAATGTTTTAAGAGAGAATAAAAATGGTTTTAGAAAGATCGCAAATGTTTTACAAAAGAATACAAATGTTTTAGAAGAGAGTGCACATGTTTTGTGAGGGAATTAAAAGTTTCAATGGGAATGCAAAAATTGGCGAGACTGCAAATGTTTTGCGAAAGAATGCAAAGTTTCTTGGGGAATGAAAAATTTGGCTAGAAAACAAATGTTTTGTGAGAGAGCACAAATATTTTGCAAAAGATCGCAAATGTTTTTTGAGAGAATGCAACTTTTCTTGGGGAAACAAAACATTTTCTTGAGAAAACGCAAATGTTTCATGAGAGAATACAAATGTCTTGCGAGACAATGCAAAGTTTTTGTGGAACGCAAAATTTGGCTAGAAAACGCAAATAAAAACATGTCCTTTCATGAGAGAACGCAAATGTTTTGCGAGAGAACGCAGTTTTTTAAGGGAACGTAAAAATTTGGCTAGAAGACATGTTTTGTGAAAATGTTTTTTGAGAGAATGTAAAGTTTCTTGGGGGAATGCAAACATTTTGTGAGAAAATGCAAATGTTTCATTACAGAAGACAAATGTTTTACAAAAGAATATGAAGTTGAGAGAATAGAAATGTGTCGTGAAAGATCGCAAATGTTTTATGACAGAATGCAAAGTTTTTTGGGGGGGACACAAAAATTTTCATGAGAAAATGGAAATGTTTCATGAGAGAACACAAATGTTGTGCAAGAGAACGCAAAGTTTCTTGGCGGAACACAATAGTTGTGTGAGAGAATGCAAATGATTTGCGATAGAACGCAAAAGTTTTGCGATCAAATGCAAAGTCAATCCATCTCATATGTTTTTCACCATGTTTTACCTAAAAAAGTGCATCATGTTGGAACATTTAAATTACATGGTTTTATTCAAGTCAAAAATATACAAATTATATATTGAAAATTATATAAAATAAATTTTATAAGACTCAATCGATCTGATTACTTTGTGTTGCACCAACAAAAGTCATATAATAAAATATCTCCTTTAGATAATGGCACATTTTAAGTCTTTTTTTTTTTATCTTATAATGAAGACTGAACTAGTTGCCTATTGACTGTTTGACAGTCAGCACTACTTCCTAAAAGAGGCATTACCCAGAATGCTTGACCTTAAAGGGACAATTCACTCAAAAGTGAAGATTTTGTCATCATTTTCTTGCCGCTGTGTTGTTCCAAACCTGCATGACTGCATGCACCTCTCATCTGTGTGATTTATTGAGTTTGCGAGGCTGTTGTTTACCCATCAGCACTACTTGAAATCTTAGCTAAATCCAGTCAGCTGATACTGGACAAGGCCAGATCCTCTCATGCGGTTTAAAAACCTGAAGCCTTATTTGCATCTCTGTGTTTTGTTTGGATTTGCATCTTTTTTTTGCTACTATCCATAGCTATACTTTCAGAGCACATAAAGGAAGTTTATTTATGATGTTTTGTATGCCACACGAGCTGTATCCTCAACATAAGCGTCTCTCACAGAGTCAGCAGGAGCCTTCGTCATTGTGTCCGTCTGAGTGTGACATTAAAGCGAGAGGTGTGTGAAGGATCACAGGCAGGTGCTGGAGGGGCCGGTCTCGCTAGTGGAAATGTAAACACGTGTGTTTACTCTTTCTCTCTCTTTTTCTGTTTGCAGTTCTGCCTGACTGCATCGCTGAAGCGCCCAGGTAAGCCAGAGTTCACTACCTGCTTCCGAGTGTCAGTATATGGCTTTTCTGATGCCTTTTACAGCATACGTGCAGTTGTCAAAAGTTACGTGTAAGACTTCAGTATTTGGACTTAAAAATAAATGAATTGCATTGGATGCAAACTATTAAAGTTGTGTTTGCACACAAATCAAGAGCTTTTCTGTTGCTCAATGACTTTTATTCTGGTGATTTGTAGTGGCTGAATGAAGTCAGTGAGTTTAGCACATTAACTATGAACATGATCCACTAACATCTGGCAACAGCTTTTAAATCACATGTGAACTATTTTGCTTGAAAAGTGAACTTTAAAATAAAAGTTGTTTGATTTGGTGTTTTATACTTTATGATTTTTATATAATACATGTATACAATATATAAATTTACACTAAAAGTGTTTGGGTCTGTAAGATTTTTAATGCTTTTGAGTCTATTCTATTTTAATTTGTTTAAAAATCTACAGTGAAATCAGTAATATTGTAAAATATGATTACAATTTAAAATAACTTTTCTATTTGAATATATTTTCAAATGTTATTTATTGCTGTGATCAAAGCTGAATTTTCAGCATCATTACTCCAGTCTTCAGAGTCACATGATCCTTCAGAAATCATTCTAATATGCTGATTTGCTATTATATATGCTAATATTCAATTGTGCTGTTTAATATTTTTGTGGAAACAAGATTTTCTTTTATTTTCATTTTATTAACATTTTATTTTCAGAATTCTTTGATGAATAGAAAGTTCAAAAGAACAGCACATATTTTAAATAGAATTTTATAACAAAGGTTTTAACTGTCACTTTGGATCAATTTAATGCGTAAATAATTTAAAAAATAAAAACTCATATTAAAAAATGACACTGATCCTAAACTTTTGAACTGTATATAATATAATATAATATAATATAATGTA